ACAAAGTACGTACGTACTTTTTTTAAATGACTACTTGCGAACAAGTGCGAACATAAGGGGGGGAGGGGGTCTAAATTTTATAAAAAGTGCGCACGTACTTTGTGAACAAAGCCTTATCAATATAATAAATGCTAAAATAGTTATTATAGTTAAAATACGATGCCTTGGTCATATACAACTAGAATTAACACATAAAAATGCGTTTCTATGAGTTAAGAAATAAAGGGAAAATACACTTCATATGAGAATATAATACATTAAAACAGAAATTTCATAAATCAGTCATCTTTTCTCAAACAGACATATTTTATTGTTCGTTAGTTTAGATACGAGTGTTTGCATTGCATTCATAAACGCGATAACACTTTACAGATAATCATTTCATAAACACATTGACATCCCATACGATAACAAATTTTGAAAGTCATTTACAGAATAATTGCATTTTAATAGTGTATATATTGGACGCAAAATAAATTATAGCAATTTGTAATTGCATTACAAAATTATATTAAATATAAAACTAAATATTATTAAAATAAAATGTTCTTAACTAAAATTGGGATCCAATTTGTGTATTTCACTCATAATGGTATTAAACTTAGCTCTAGTTTGCATATATTTAGTCAACTGATGCCACGGCATCACCACTACCTTAAAGCCCAGACCTTCGAGTAGTCGTATCTCGAGCTGAACCGAGCCTTTAATATGGGTGTCGATCACTAAGTAGTCTCTGATATCCAACACATAAATAGCGAAACAATTGTTAAACATATTGTGTTTGAGTACTGTTTCGGGAGTTAACGAAAAGTTCTTATGATTTGGACTCCAAATGACAACTTGTGGATAGCTTTTGAAGGGAAGAATGTGAGACATTTGCACTCTTTCGCCCAAATGTGTCTTCAAACCCATGTATACAGTGTTCAGTAGTTTCTGTTTTTGAGTTATACGAGAGAGGGTCTGTTTCTCTTGCGTAAGAATCATGCGGTGATAGCGATAAACCATTTCCGGCTCCAGAAGAATATCACCAAACTCTTCGTACTTTTCAATAGAAAGCGCGGTATTTGTGACGAGTAAATGCCTCTCGAAATCAAGTTTTGAATATTCTGTCAAATAAAACATAAAAATACATCAAATTTTGCGTAACAATTAGACAACTAATTCCTACTCCACATCCCATTTGTCAATACTATGAAAGACAGTGAATGTCATAACAGCAACACTTACTCGATATTTTGGCCAAATATTGTCGTTCAAAACAGTGTTGTAGTAATGATTTTGGATAAAACTGCAAAATTGCTAAATAGTGCACAATATTTAACAAACAAATGGGGTATTTAAACGATTCAAACTCATCGGCATTAGTGTGTAAAGTATCGCAAATGGATTGCATTTTCTTGTGATCCAATTCGTAATTAAAATACGCTAAACATAATAATATGCGCTCAATATCTTTGATACGAAAGGCCTTTGTGTTGGTATACATTGTGTCAAATATCTGATCCATAAGCTCTTTGTCGTAGTTGAGTGCCGTATACTGAAGATTAAGCAAATGAGTTAAACTCATACCCGAATTGTTGGACAATTGTTTCATTCGGTTAACGTATTGACCGATTTCGGGCTTAAATCGGTAATGATATGAATGTCGGATACATTTGGTGACAGCAGTTCTCAATATATTATTGGTCTCTTCGGACACATCGGTAATCATTCGACTGATAACCGATTTAAACAGACTGTCCGTCAGTTTAGTCTCCGTTTTGAAAGAAGTCATACAAAACACTGCCATTTGATCCAAAGTCATGTCATTTATCATTGACTCCATTCGACTCAACATATATTTAGCACATTTTGGATCAACTTTTCGGTGAAGATTGGAGTAAAACAAGAGGTGAAGAACTCCCGTCTTATTTAACTCAAAGTCTGGTGAACTCAAGCGCTTCACTAAACTATCGTTAAATTTACATATGTTTGCGGTTTTCAGCCGATAAAACATATTTCCAAACAACAAGTATTTCTCCACATCTTTATTACCATTTAACTGATCCTTTGTCAGCCTCTCATCCAACTCGAAGTCCACATTAGACCAAACCCTGTAATACAATGTGTCAAACGGCTGATCAACGGACCATTTGGTCAACGACTCCAATACAGTCATCAATTGTCTTAAATCCAATGATTTTAACACTTTAACCAAACCATTGATTTCACGCGCAAATCCAATGTATCCCTTCGGAGGAATGGCTACGAATTTGGTCATAATCTCATCGATGGCCAAGTCTTCAGTTTGAAGTGGTTGTTCATCTAAATGGATCTCATCTTCATTCAGAAGCGATTCAATGATTTTGAAGGCTAACTGATTCTCATTATCAGTGAAGACGAGTCGTCCGCCAGTGTCTGGCTTTTGGATCAAATAGACATTACTTGAATGCTTTGGCTTCGAGTCCAACGCCTGATGCGATAGACACCGCTTTGAACACCACTTCCAGTCACTCTTCGGCCCGGCTTTCCAGCGCTCGACCGCCGATGACTTCTTCGCGTGTGTTGTGGTCGTTGTTGTCAACCATTTCTCACATCTTATTTGTTTACCACTAATTAATCTCACATCTAATGGCAATCTCTTCACCATTTGTTTCAATGAATGCATCGTTTGTTTGAAAACAATTTAATTCAACACTAAATTCAATGCAATTTTGTTTTGACTCTAGTTTTAAATGTTTTGCAAAAATGCTTTAAAACACATGTTTTGCTGTTATATTAATTGTACACAAAATACGTTATGTTTTACTCGAATATAAAACAAACCCCAAAAACACATCAATTTTTGATTCAAAGCTTGTATTCATTGAATAATTGAAAGCATTTAAAGACCACTTTATTTATATGTTTCACGTTTTATATGAAAGTTACAAAATATCGCCGCTTTTATTGACATAACTTCTTGGGCTTACAGTTAAGTCATTTCAATTCATTCATACATTTCTTTGGATCAACTCTTCAGGTATTAAATTCATTAATCATTTAAATATTACCACAATTTAATAGAGAGAGAGAGAGAGAGAGAGAGAGAGAGAGAGAGAGTCGGTGAGCGGAGAGTCGGATACTGAAGGTGATAGTGGAATAAGAGAGAGAGAGAGAGAGAGAGAGAGAGAGAGGCGACGATCGTGGTAAACATTAAAACATTGTCAACACATGTCTTATGCAATACTTGCTATCATTTCATTTGATCCGTTATCCTTCAGGTGAAGTGATGTCAGCGTTAAGAGCAGCCCGTAATCTATATGTATCGGGTCTTCCGTGGACTGTAGGCCACAGTTAGTGTCTCAACGGTTACACGAAATGATCGCTCACTTAATGCCGTGTTTTTTATATTGCCTTTTAGGAGATCTGTTTGAATACTTCTCGGCTTACGGACCCATTGTCTACCATAGCGTCGCCTTTGTATGTCATGTCTTCATACCTATGTTGTCATGAATTGATTTGATTGTCTCAATACAGGACAAGACTACCGGTATGTCTAAGAGGTATGGATTCGTTAACTTTGGTCACGACGAGGCGATCCGAGCGGTCCTTAAACAGAAGACACATGTGTTGGACGGAAATATTGTAATCATTTATCTTATTATTTAATTAATGTTTTGAATAACTATTGATGTCTTCTTTGTATATCACCAACAGATCAATGTTGAAGTGAAGTCCGATTTGAGAAATAATGGCACGAATTACCGATAATTTATAGATTCATCGATTCATAGATATGAACAACAATTGTAGTCAACATTTATTCATTAGTTTTAAAGTAAATTAAGTTTATATTGAAAATTCAATACTAATGTCGATTCCTTATCGATATATCACTCGTTATACAATTGATTATATCGTTTCTCGTAATAAATAATATCGTAAAAATAGGTAAAAATAACGCTTAAATAAATTGTGTGTCATTTAATACCAAACAAATAAAATTTGAATGAATTTAATAACATCACAATAATTATTGTTTAGTTTATTCCAATTATATGATAATTACAATATATTTCCATTTAATAATATAATCACAGCATAAAAATTATTAACTTTCTTGTTAAATAAGTTTGGATTTGATTCTTAAACATATTAGCAATTATTTTAAATTTAAGTTAACGTAATATTCAAAACTCATTCATTAAATACATATTCATATAAATCACATATTAATTTAAGAGCAAAAGAATTATATTTAAAACAATTGTATAAAATTTTTGTTGCAAAAAATGACAAACGATAAGCATATTTAGCAAATACTGTATTTTGTTAGTTATAATTTATAAATATTAGTTTAAAAATTTATTATATTATTTATCGATAATTTCGAGTAGAAATTGTTTACGAATTTATAATTTAAATTAATATTAGAAAAAAGATTAGAAATTCTCAAGAAATGGTAATCGAAGGAGAATTAGGCGAAGAATGTGATGGTTGTTGTGATGGCTCTGTCATTGGCACTGATTTAATTGGTTTATAGCCCCGGGATTTCATATAACCGGTCATTTGGTCTGGAATTTCCGCCAAAACCTCTTTGGCTAAATCGGCCTGAGATCTGACAAACGGGCCGTTTCTGGACAGGTATTTATTCAACGGCACGAATTGCACGATATCTCTCTCGGCGTACTTGCCGTCCACTTGCAGTCTCACGTCATCCGAGTCTAACTCATCCATTGCGGCGAAGTCTGCGTTCCCGACGCCCACTATAATGATAGATATGGGAAGTTTGGACGCATTGACGATAGCGTTCTTCGTTTGATGCATATCAGAGATAATGCCATCCGTTATGATCAACAAAATAAAGTAATGCTTTCCGTCTTGAAATCCACGGGCAATGGAAACCGTGTTATTGATAACATTGGAGAAGTTTGTCGGCCCGTAAAGCGTGACTGAAGCCAATCGGGTTCTGTAAAAATTCAGAATCTCTGGGATTCCACTGCAATACGGATGCGATGGATTGCCATTCAATGGGAACTGATGGGACACTTCACCCGTTGGCGGCAGTTTTGCGCCAAAACCTAATTCATTGGCAATCATTGCATAGATTAGCATAAATGCCATTACAAACAGTCGTGTAATTGC